CTCTCCACCGCAAGAGCGCTGGCCTTAAAGATCGCCAGGGGAAAGTTATCTCCGTATCAGGACCAGGAAGAGCTGGGGACTGAACTGTTTATCTCATCGTTGCTGAAGACTGGGTACAGATTTGTGTTTTCCTTTTTGCTTTGGCTGCCGGAAAGCTCTGACCAGCTTTTGATTCCCCTCTGAAAACTGCATTCATCTTATAATACATTCCTGCTGTATAGATTATCTGATTTGATCTCACTTTCCACCCTATGTGTTCCTTTTAGCCCAGTTCAATATGAGTTTTCAGTTGCTTACTACCTATTTTTGGTAAACTCAACCGGTTTATGGAATGGGCAACATGTAGGGCCCATAGTTTATGAAAAGTACCAGGTTACCCCCACAACAAATGTATCTCTCATTTGTTGAGAAGCACCATGAATACAACACTGTCCTATTTATCCTAGCTATAAAGCCTTTTCACTACTCCCATTTTGCAGAGAGAAAACTGAGTCACACAAAACTTAAGGGGTTTGCCTAGTCATGTAGTGAATCAATAATAAAATCAAGCCAGGGATTTCTGAAGCAACCACCACATGGATAACATTCAGTTTCTATGTGCAAGAAGTGGCAGCCTTCTGACTTTGCAAACTGAATCTAAAGCTCCTCAGCCCACACATCCTATCTCTACCATCAGGCCAGAGGATCCAGGCGACAGAGAGGACTGTGGCAGGAAAAAAACAAACAACAGACGAGGGAAAGTAATAGGTTCTTGGACCACTGTGAAAGGCAAGTTTGTCACCTTTTAGGGAGTATCTGTCATGTGCTCGTATGGTGCCAAGGCCAGGAACAGAGACAGTGGGTTCTGCTCTCTGGGGACTGAGACTAGATAAAGGGGAGGCAGCTAGGTCCAGGACATGGTGGGCTAAGGTGGACATGCTCATAGGGGTTCACAGTAGAACAGCATACCATCATTCTGATAGCAGTTTAGTCCTTGGCTTCGGAGTTCCCTCAGACAGTGGGAGGGGCTGGAGAGATGACTCATGGTCTGGAAAAGGGTCTCAGTTTGGTTTCCAGCACCCACATCAGGCCTCACAGATGCTTATTGCAACTCTAGCTCCAGGGGATCCAATGCCCTCTGCTGGACTGTGAGGGCACCTGCACATACCCCCCCCGCCACATACAGACACACATTGTCAATAATAAAATGAATCTTAACTACAGCAAGAAACAAAACAGTGGGAGGAAGAAGATGAAGCTCCCCGGGATGGCTTTACATCTCTCAGACCCTTTGCTTAGCCCTGGCAGGAGTTAGTCATTAGGAACGGTGGATGGTAGCGGACGGTAGCCTGGGTGTCTTGCTCTCACAGCTGTGTAAGCTGATCTGTGCCTCCGCCCGCCTCATCCTGGAGCTGACTCTAGGAGCTGACTCTAACCTCCGTTCCATAGATGGGTCTGGCTGTTTCTTCTGGGCGCTGCCATCTGAAACCCGTCCTGTTACTGGAATCCATCCCCCATAAAGGACAGGATGAACAGTCCTTCTGGATGCTCCTGAACACAGTATCTGGCTCGCTCTGTGCCCACACAGGGCTTTTACCACATTTGTTCTGTTTCTCTTATCTACTTTGATGCGTGAACAATGGCTCACAACGCAATCCCTAGCTGCATCCCCTGGTGCAGGGAAGGTCCCTCTGCAGAGTCCCCCACAAGAAGGAAAGAGCTAGCTCAAATAGTAAGGGGAGGTTTCAAGTGCATCAGTGGCTGGAGCCAGGGAGAAGCGTGCGTGCGGTGTGCCTGCTGAGCGTCAGTGCGAGCTACAAGGCTCCTTGGCTCTGTGGAGTGGCAAAGGAACTAATTAATCATCTTCTCACCAAGCAGGACTCTGATTTGCTAGTTTCCTCTTCGAGTTTGTTTTGTCATGTGCTATCAGCCAAGTTAGTCAAATGTTACAATTCCTCTCTAAGTACTCCTGCAGCCAGATGGCAGCAGCACTTCCATGAGAAGCCACAATTCTCTAGGAGATAACTTTGTGACAGGCTTGCTGCTGAGGGGACCCACCCATCGGTGCCTTGGTAGCCCTGCTCAGTGGTCTCTACCACTGAACCTTGCAGTCCCAAGAAGACAAACCTTCAGTGTGCAGTCAGGAACTTGTTGTAAAACAAAGAAGTTTCTATGTCTCTAAGCTTGGGACTTAGAACAAACATATAAGATCACTAAATCACACATCGGGACAAATCTTTCTTTTTTTTTTTTCATTCTTTTTTGAGATAGGGGTTCTCTGTGGCTTTGGAGGTTGTCCTGGAACTAGCTCCTTGTAGACCAGGTTGGTCTCGAACTCACAGAGATCTGCCTGCCTCTGTCTTCTGGGATTAAAGGCGTGTGCCACTACTGCCTGGCTGGAACTAATTTTTTAGGACTTTGCTCTTTTTAAAATGTGACTATGTCCTGAAAATTTATCACATGTGCAGGAAAGTAAATTTCATTTCTTCTATCGAGTTATTTTTTATATGTCTGTTTTACATTTTTCCGGGTGGGGGGGCATTGAACTCCGGAGGTTAGAGGATAACTTGCAGGAGGGATCAATCCTCTCCTTCCAGTACATGAATTCTGAGACTTGAACTCAGGCTTGGCACAGGCGCTGGTTCATCTCTCCTGCCCTTTTGTAGACTTTTAAGCTTTAGCACTAGTAGACAGATATCTGTCGATCATAGGAGGCAGGAAAAGTTGAGGGTCTCTGGTGACAACTGCTCTGTGTTACTCTCATTTGGTGTTGCAGCTCTTTCCCTGGCTCTATTACTCCTTTTTCTATGGGGTGTCTTGGAATGACTGCAAAATCTCAACCTGTACCTTGCAGTTGCTGCTGAACAACAATCGCCCAAAAGAGCGTTGCCATGCTGGGCCAGCTGGCTGTCTCCCATTCCTGAAACTGAATGTTCTTAGACACACACACTCCTCCACCCCTTCTGCTGCTGGCTGGCTCGGCGCAGCACCGTGTCACCGTCACCAGTGCCTGAAAGCGGAGGCTCCTGGAGGACTGAAAAGGGGTGCACAGCAGCTCTTCAGTAAGGCAGCCTGACTCCTCTGCCGACATTAGGGTACCAAAATTGCATATGCATGGTGCCTCTCTAGTTTACAGTCCACAGCCCTTGGTCTTTATCCGCGGCATCCTTCAGCAGCTCAGCCAACCCGTCTGTATTTCTCATCTGTGAAAAGGCACAATTACAGGGAGCCGCTGGACTCTGGAGTTAACCCATGTGGAGGCATTTAGGGTAGCATCCTACAGCACCGACCACTTACTCTTACTTCTATTCTGTTTTTTTTTTTCTCCCCCGCCTTTCTCCCTGCTTTTCCTGTCTTGGTTTTTGTGGGTTTAAAGTGCATCTCTAAAGCACATTAGCTGGAAAACTGCAACGGTCTGGGCACTGCCATGGCCAGCGCCCTTCAGCACCAAATGTTCACTTAAGATGCTATTGAAATAAAAAACGACACAAGTCACATGCACAAGTCCAAAGCACATAACTTCCTGAGTATGTCTGGACCCAAAGTGCCTTGAAGGCCTGCCCAGGGCAGTAGGAAGCCCAAAGGCAACCCCCGTTCTGATCTCCACCACCGCTCTATAGTCTAGAGAAGACAGTTTTTACAGGAAGCCTGGAGCTGGACATTTCAGCGGTGAAAACCCTCGTCTTGTAGAGGACGAGGTTCATTTCTACCAACAACAGGGTGGTTCAGCTGCATCCACAACTCCAGTTTTGGGGGATCTGATGCCCTTCTGACCTCCAGGGGCACTAGGCACACATAGGGTGAAGAGACATACATGTAGGCCGGAGACTCACAAAAAGCAAAAAGAGCGAAAAACAAGGTTGGAGTGTCTGTGATGATTATAATACTGATGATGGCATCCCTCTTCCCGTCCTCTGTGAGGTGACAAAGGGTTCTAACAAGGAGGAGAGTGAGGCACACAAACTTTTAGAATTACACAGGTCCTGCCCAAGAAAGGTGCTCATTTATATCCCAGGATCCCAGGCACAGACAGTAGAGTAGAATCCAATGTCCAGTCACTAACATTCCTCAGAGTGTCCCCAGAGTGTCAGAGATACTTCTAGTTTGTCCTTAGGCCACTGGACAGGCTTCCTGGATTTTCTCACGGAACACCTATCCAACTAGAGGCCCTAGGACCTTGTACTCACTCGGCTGGTTCTCCAGGAGTGCATCAGACACTGTTCCAGAGGAATGGTGTGAGCCAGCTCATGAGAGTCCAGCGTGCCCCTTTCCCGAGTTTGCCTCCCCTCCTTGAGCTCCAGGGAAATGACCAGTTACCCAGTCCCCCACACCTCCAAAAGACTTTAAAGACCGTTGGTGGCCAGATGGAAATGGCTAGAGATAAGGGACAGACACACTCTCAGGCTCCTGACCTCTGAAGTTTGCAGATAAGCCTTGGGGGAGTCAGGACACCTGAGCTTCTGGCCTAGCTCTGTGGCCAGGAGCTGTGTGACCTTGGATAAGTCACTTCTCAGCTTTGGAACTGGCCTTTTCCCTGGGGTTGCTCCAATAGCCTCAAGTCCCTTCCTCGTATGCAGGTTCCCACATCTCTCCTGTTCTATTTTCCAGGGCCCTTTCTAGGGACAGTCCCAACCCCACAGAGACCTACCCTTTTGTTCTCAGGGAAAGAAAGCAAAGCCCCTTGGAGCACCAGACCTAGGAGGCCTCCGTGCCAGAAGCTGCTTACGGGAGAGTGCTGTCCTGGGAGGTCACCCAGCAGCCCTGAGGTGACCTGGTAGTTGCCATGATCCCTTTCAACCGGTGCGGGCAGAGAGCAGAGTGGCCGGCGCTAGGGCTGCGCGGCCACTCTGGATCGTAGTCGCGGCTGGGGACTGCAGTCCAGAGGGGTCCCTGGACACTTTCACTCGCCCAGTGTGAGTGACACCGCGGCAGGCTACTCTGCCTCGGGACGGCCCCCACCACCCTCTCCACAGCATGCGTTGGCCACTCCACCCGGGGCCCGGACTTAGCAGAGCCGCTACCTGCAGCTGGCCCTAACCGGGCCACTGGACTCGCACTGGCGCCGCCGTCCCCGCCGTCCCCGCCGTCCCCGCTGTCCACTCTCGGTCTGTGGACTCTGTGGACCGTGCCTGGCGTTGTAGCTGCGCGCCTGGCTGAGCCGGGCTCTGTGCTCCGGGCTCGCTCAGGCGCTGCCGGGACGCGGAGGCGGAGCCGCCCGCCCCCACCTGCTTGCTGTGGCCGCCCCGGAGCCCCGCCGCCAGGCGCACGGGGACGTGGCCCAGCGGGCGGGGTCGCTTTGGCACACAGGAGGCGGGTCCCGACCGCGCGGCGCACCTCCCAGGTACAGAGTCCCTAGTATGAGCCGCGGGAACAGTGTGGCCTAGGGCTGGAGTTCCCCTCACCGTGTATTCCAAACATTTCCCAGCCCTCGCTAAGCTCCAAACAGCGCCATAAGCAAGGGGACAAAGGAGATCAGCGAAGCTTGTTGTTCTGATGAGGATGAGCAGGTACAATAGAGAGCCTAGAGGATATCCAGTATGCACAAGAAGAGGGGTACTCCTTTCAGACCTGGGCTTGGGGTGGGCACGAAGCCTGCTCCTGGAGAATGAAAGGTGAGCGCAAAAATATCTTGGTATCCTGAGGCAAGTAGCTTCAGGTAGGGCTGAAAAGGGAAGAAGCAAGTTTGAAAACTGCAATCAGCCTTGGAGTGAAGCTGGGTGACCAGCACATCTCTGTCCCACTTCACTGTCTCACTGACTTGTGCCTGGAGGATGCAGGTTTTTTGTTTGTTTGTTTGTTTTTGTTTTGCCTGGGGCTACATGCACTGTGCTGCAATACAGGCCAATACATCCCTGTCTCTCATTTCTTAACCATTCCTGCTAGCTTAGGATGTCCTACTGGAATCTTGAGCGTTTGAGGCTCCTTTGTGAGCTCTTTGTGGGTCCTACAGTGCTGACTGAAGGAAGCAGCCTCTCTACCCTTGAAACCCTGCCTCTGGTGCTCACAGGAGATGTTTGGGAACACACATGCCAGCAGCCTGCTACCACACAGGATTGCAACCTATCTATCTGTTCACATGGTCAAAGTATGTATCCCCACAAGCCTTCAGCTACTTCTCTAATTGCTCATGTTTATAGCCTGACAGGCTCATGGTTATATCAAGGATTAATAATACACTCAGGCTGTCTTTCACTTTTGTGTTGACAAGTATACAGCTTTCTCTTTTGATTTAGGTGAAGAAAAGTTAGGTATAGATCACGATCCTGACCCGAAGGATATACTTTGACTGAAAGCCATTAACCGTTCTGCATGAGTAGCTGCTATTAAAAAGGTCAAGGTCTCACTCAAGACACTCTTCTGGGTTGTTAATCCTCATTCTCATTACTTACCTACTTGTGTTCTGATTCAAAAAGGAAGGAAAGCTCAATTTGCAGAGAAGATATATTTCCACGACCCTGTAGAAGTCGCACCAGGTCTTCTATGGAGTCCCCTAGTCACAAGCTAATTATGTGGACATAGTTATTTATCTTATGAGCTGGACAGTTGCTGGAGGACACAGTGATCCAGTTTATTTTTTATTTATTTTATTTTATTGTTTTTTCCAGACAGGGTTTCTCTGTAGCATTGGAGCTTGTCCTAGAACTCACTCTATAGGCCAGGCTGGCCAAGAACTCACAGAGATCCTCCTGCCTCTGCCTACAGAGTGCTGGGATTAAAGGCATTCACCGCCACTACCTGGCAGTAAAATGCTTGATTCCAAGTGATGGGTGTCTGTAGAGTGGGGCTGTTGGAGGTTGAAATCATTATTAGGATTTGTGTTTACATGCTCAGTTGCCCGGACCCACAGGGACAAGTCAACATGAGCTATCCTGGGGGTGGGGGACAAATGAGGGACAGGAGACACAAGGAATGGGAGCAAGACAAACTGGCTGATCAAGCTTGTTTATTGAGGATTTCGTACAAGCTTATATGTGTTATGAGATGGGGCAGAGGAATGCAAGAGGTCGTTAGACAGGAGGCCCTGAGGAATGGGCAGGGGGCTGTCAGAAGCAGGAAATGTTTGATAAGCGATGAGCAGGAGTTTGCACCAGGGAGTGCAGGTGTTAAGAAAGCATTGCTAAGTGATGGGTTAGCTCCAGGATCATCTGTGGGAAGGCACCTAAGTTCTGGGAAGTGGCCTTGGGCCTAGGAATAGAGAGTTACCGAGACCTGGTCCCCAACACTCAGTGTCTTATGGCACATGTGGTACTCCCTGCATCCCTTTTCTCTGGACATTGCAAGAAGGTTATTCCCTTAGAGGAAGTCCCTGGAAGCCATGCTCCAAATAGCTAAACTACTCTCCCCATCTTCTCCATGAACAGAACTCAGACGATGACCTGTCAAAGACTGAAGACTATAGTAACAGTACCCTTCCTGATCACCTAGACTTACTCAGCACATTTGCCTAGCTGAGTTCAATCCCCAGGACTACCAAAATAGAACAAAACAAAAACCCAAAAGAACAACAGCAACAGTAATAATAAAACCTAGTCAAAATGTAGACAGTAGGGACAAATGAGATGGTTGGGCAAGTAAAATCATCTGTTACCAAGTCTGGTGACCTGAGTTGGCTTGAATTGAATTGGAAGAGGGAGTCTGTATGTGTGTGTGTGTGTGTCCTTCCATTCCTTATCCTCTTTATGATTTAGTACCTAGTGATGCTACAACTAGATTGCAACCAAGGAACAATTAATGGGATTTCAACCACCACTATCTACAATGACAGAAGATGGAGACAGTGTTATGTTGCTAGGCACCTAAGTCAAAGCCAATGGCTGTCCACCTCTGGACTATTTATTAGGTAAAAACAAAGTTGCTACTGTTTGTTTAAGCCACTGATTTTCTTTTTTCCCCTTTGGCCCCTACATGAACACTAATATTTATTTATTTACTTATTTATTTACTACCTATTCCTTTCCAAATAAGTATAGTGTAACTTTGAAAGGAACATTTTTAGGGGTCCAATTTTACAGTTAAATGTATTACTAATAGAAAATGTAACTTTAAAAAACCCTCCTATCTTCTCCCATCACTCACTAAACACCTGCAATAACTCGGTGCAATAACTTCCACACCTCTGTTGCAACACATATACTTGTAGGTATATTTATGAAAATCCTATGACTTCTTGGGGTCTCTAGGAGGAAGGCACCAAAGAAACCTGAATGGTTTAAAACGTGTGTTCACTTCACGTTGTCAAATATTTATAAACCAGCTATTACATGGTGAAACAGCTCTGGTGCTTAGAGAGCAAAGATAGACTCCCAGCTCTGTCCTCTGGGAAGTAGCAGCTCACACTGCAGGAGGGTGAGAGGAGGGTTGGGATTCTGCGTGATGGATGAGCATGTCCTCCATGAAGAGCTAACCCTGAGGGAGGCAGCCTGGTGGAGGAGGGAGGCCGTGACACCTGAACTGTGAACTGTGCCTCCCAGAATGCACAGACGTCCCTAATGCCAGGGACAGGAGAAGAAAGGGCATTCAGGGAGGAGAGAGCTTGAACCAGCTTGGAACTCTGCATGTCACATGTCTAAAACAGAATTCAAGAACTTAATGGGAAAAACGTTTTTGCATAAACAAAATACACTCATTTGGGGTTTAATGGATAGTGAGAAAAGTTTATTCCAAGGCACCCACAATCTTGGTCAACATGTAAACTGTTTCTGTCATCCCAGAAGATACTCACGTGTACCTTTGTCACCATCAGTCACTACCTCCAGGCCAGGAATGTCACAGATCTGGCTCTGTTCTTTCTCTTCTAGAATTGTATATGCTTGAACCACATAATATGATGACTTGAAGCTTATCCATCTGTTCTGTATGATTTGTCCATACTGCTAATTTAGTGTTTCATTGTATGGATATGCCAGTGCCTGTTAGTGGAGTTTTGGGTTGTTTCCAGTTTGGGAAGGTTACAAATTAAGATGCTTTGAATATTCATGTAATAATCTTTTTGTGAATAAATACCTTTAGTTTTATAAGTCATTAGCATTTAAAATAAAAATGGCCTTGAGCCCATAATGAGCCGCTAATTCACACTCACAAAGATAGCCATAATGGGGGCCGGGGGAAACACCTTTAATCCCAGCACTCGGTAGGCAGAGACAGGCAAATCTCTGAGTTCGAAGCCAGCCTGGTCTACAGAGTGAGTACTAGGACAGCCAGGGCTATACAGAGAAACCCTGTCTTGAAAAACAAACAAGCAAACACAAAAGGAAACAACAACATATAACCATAGCGAAACACTGGGAAATAGTATTGTCAAGGATGTCAGCAACTCGGAACCCTCATCTGTTGCTAGGAACAATGTGGGATGGTGAAGTCTCTGTGATAGTTTATGTGCTGATTATTTACGTCTCGATTTGTGATAGATTATGTGCTGATTATTTATGTCTCGACTTGACATTTGGGAGGAGGAATCTCAAAGGGAAAAATGCCTTCCTCAGATCGGCCTGCAGGCAAGCCAGTGGAACATTTCCTTGATTGATGATGGATGTGGGAGCGTCCTAGCCACTGTAGGCAGTGGCACTCTTAGGCATGAGACTCTGGGGTTTATAAGAAATCAAGCTGTGCAGAACAAGCCCGTCATCAGCACTCCTCCATGGCCTCTGCTTCAGTTCCTGCCTCCAGGTTCCTGGTTTGGCTTCCCTGGATAACAGTCTCTAACTGGAAAGCTAAGTTAACTATTTCCTTCCCAAGTTGCTTTTGGTCATGGTGTTTATCACAGAAATAGAAAGCAAACTAAGCCAGTTAGGTATTCACTTCAAAGTGAACAAGATTAACCATAGAGCCCAGAAGTTCTACTCCAGGTCATATAAAAAGAGTTCAGTACAGGAGGTCAAATGGAAATCTTGTACAACAGTCCTTCCTGAACCGTGAGGATATCCCAGACCCCCATGAGAGTCTGGAGCTGCAAGTAATACTGAGCCCAGGAAGTCCAACGATGGAACTGAACTTACAATTACGGTGCAGTAAGATATTGACAGTAAAAAATAACTTTAACAATATATGTGCTCTCTCCCACTCTTTCCATTATCTACAGAAAAGCTCGCCTCCTTTTACACTGTGGTTAGAAAGGACTGTCAGTGCAGAGGAAGACAGTGCTGAGGGGCCTCCTGAGGCCCCTCCTTGCTTTCCAGGCCTGTCACCTCCTGGGGAGATCAGTTTTCTTCTCCTGTTTTTCTCAGCTTCTCTGTAGC